AAGTTAATTAACCTAGCCATCACCTCAGATATTTGACACTCTTTGTGATGAAAACCTTGGTTGTATTGAAGTGTACTGTATTGAATTGTTAGCTATATTAACCACACTGTGCAATAAATATCATTATTTCTATTTTTTAAAAAAGAAATATTTTCTTTCTTTTCTCTGTCTCTCTTTCTTTCATATCATTAGAACTTTATCATTTGCTCCTTCCTTCCTTCTTTCTTCTTTTTTTTCTTTTAGAGAGAGTCTCATTCTGTTGCCCAGGCTGGAGTGCAGTGGTTCAATCATAGCTCATTGCAGACTTGACCTCCTGGGCTCAACCTATTTTCCAGCCTCAGCTTCCTGAATAGTTGGAACTACAGGTGTCTGCCACTAAGCCCAGCTGCTTTTAAAAACATTTAATTGGTTGCAGGGAGGGCATCTCACTATGGCGCCCAGGTTGGTCTTAAACTCCTGGGCTCAAGTGGTCCCCCCACCTCAGCCTCCTAAAGCACTGGGATTACAGATGTGAGCAATTTTATCATTTTCAAACATGTTATCTTTCAAGGATTTTTAAGGGGTGAGGGAGTTGCCACTACATTAATTTGAGTATCACTGGATTTCCTTTGGCAGTCAGTTTTTCTTAGCCAGAGCAGAAAATTGGGCCTGAAACAGTCTTCCCTGAAGTGAGGCTGGTAGATTTGTGGGGTAGAAGAGGGAAAACCAGGATTCCCCATGAACTCCAGAGGTCTGAGAAAAAATGCGATGGAACAAATTCAGCTCCAGCTCTGAGGATACACTCAGAGGGTAAGCCCTGCAAGGCATTCAGCTGTAGTTATATACATACGTACATATATATATTTTTATTTTATTTATCTTTAAATTTGTCATCCAGGCTGGAGTGCAGTGGCACGAGCATGGGCACAGGCGATCCTTCCATCTCAGCCTTCTGAGTCACTAGGACGACGGGCACGGTCCTCCCACATCGGCCTCCCAAAGTGCTGAGATTACAGGCAGGAGCCACCATGCCTGGCCTGCAGTCATATTAAGTTAAGTATTCCCCCATTTGTTCCAGAAAGGTATGAAAGGGGAAGAGGCCAGTTGAAGCCAATTTGACCTTGAATGTGAGCACAAGAGGCATGCTGGTTAGATCCTAATAACAAACTATCAGTATTTAAAGAAACAGCAATTTTAAAAAATAACTTGTCACTTTGGGAGGCTGAAGTGGGAGGATCATTTAAGGCCAGGAGCTTGAGACCAGCCTGAGCAAAATAGTAAGATTCTTTCTCTACAAAAAAATTAGCTGGGTGTGGGGGTGCATGCCTTTAAAATTAGCTGGGCATGGTGGCACTGGGGCTACTAGGGAGGCTGAGTTGGGAGGACTACTTGAGCCCAAGAGTTCAAGGCTCCAGTGAGCTATAAATGCACCATTGCACGCCAGTCTGGGCAACAAAATGAGACCCTGATTCTATTTTTAAAAAGATCTGCCATATTATTCTTCTGATTGCAAAAGAAAGACAAAACAAAACAAAAAGTAACATTTATACATTGTAGAAAACATAAATACCACAGATAAGCAAAGCACAGTGTAAGCCCAGCACACAGGTGTGGCTACATGCAACTCTTTGAGTGCCACTTGCCCTCTGGCTGTGGCCTTGATGTATGTATTTACATTGTGTAAAAATGAAATCCAACAAGCAACGGTTTCAAGTTGGGCTCTGCAGGGGGTGCTGTAGTCTTTGCTTCCTCTGGAGGTGAGGCCTGTGGGCTCAGCAGTTGCCGGTTCAGCTTTGCGGTTCACCTGTGGGGCCTTTAAACGCTCTGAGCATGGGGCATAGATTAGTAGCTTTCCTTATCAGGATTCAATTATGACTACAATTCCTCAATGCATCATTTATTTAATACTGACCACAGGACAGAATTTTCCAAAGAACTTCAGGCTACTTTCCTTGCATCTTCAACTCTGTGCTTTCTGTGTCCCTGCACAAACACCTCTTTCACCCTTAAGGATTCACAGAGTGTCACTTCCCTGTCCTGTCTCAGGCCAAAGCACCTGCTTAAGTCCCACCAGGACCCTCGCCCTCGTATGTGCCCGCAAGGTTATTCAGAACAGGGATGATGGGGAGTCCTGAGATCAAGACTTTTCTGAGCCTGCTTGTTCCCATCTGATCACAGCTGTTGGGGAGAGGATGCCCCCTTCAGGAACAGTGTAACTCAGACACAGTCCTTTAAGGGGAAAAAAATGGGGGCTGGGGAATGTCAGTGCTTTGGCCTCTCAAGCACATTAACATGTTCTGGCTATTTGTCCTACCCCAGACCCGGAGGTGGGGCCGGGTTTGTCCTGGGCCCTTTGTGCCCAGGTCCCTGCAACCTGTTACAACCCATGGGGGATCACTGGGACCATCACAGTCTTGCTACTCATCGGCATGACTCAGGAACCTGTTGGAAAGGCAGACGCTCCGCACCCCAGACCTACCAAGTGAGATTCTGCATTTCACCAAGACTCCACAGAGCACTCGTGACAAAGCATACATTGAGAAATGCTGTTCTATGGGACTCAAACCATTTAGATTGGTTGATTCTCCACCAGAGCTGCACATGAGAATCATAGGGGGACTTTTAAAAAATGACCATGCCTGCCCTTTCCCCACAGGATGTGCACCAGTGGGTGTGGGTGGTGCCTGGGCACTGGCAGTTTGAGAAGCTCCCCAGCAATTCTGGGGGCCTGAGTTGAGAAAACTCTTTTTTTTTTTTTTTAATTGAGTTGGAGTCTCACTCGGTCGCCCAGACTGGGGTGCAGTGGCCGCTCCCGGCCACCGCAGCCTCGACCTGCTGGGCTCTGGCGATCCTTCCGCCTCAGTCTTCCAAGCAGCCGGAATTACAGGCATGCACTACCACTCCCGGCTAGAGAAAACTCTTTAGATCACCAAATGTTGGCCAGGAAGGGGATGGAGCAGAGTCCCTGTAGGGCTTTTTCCACATGACAGTCACCTACTTAACAAGCCCCAAATGGATCCAATGTCCCTGTCCCTGGCTCCACCCTCATCCCTCATCCCCCAGGAATGCTAAGAGGAGTAGCAGGAGGGATAATGAAGTTGCAAGTGCTCTGGAAAGGTAGAGGTGTTACCCAAAAGTCAGCCCTAGCATTCTATTGCCCATCCCACTGTGAGCTCACAGTAATACAGCAAAGCCTTTCTAAAGGCAACTGAAAAGACATGTGCCTGAAAAACATTTTTTTAAAAGAAACAAATCATAACATGCAAAGGGTACTTGGGTCATTGCCGGGGGAGTGAGGGCCAGTTAGAAACCCAAACTTAACCTGTATGCAGCCTACTTGTGTAGTTAATCCTCACTTGTACCCCACGTTCCTATTATAAAATAAAATTTTTATAAAAAAAAGATGCAAGCCAGGTGCAGTGGTTCAAGCCTGTAATCCCAGCACTTTGAAAGGCTGAGGTAAGGGGATTGCCTGAGCCCATGGGTTCGAGAACAGCCTGGGCAACTTGGCAGGTCCTCATCTCTACAATAAAAATTAAAAATTTTTGTACACCTGTAGTTCCGGCTACTTGGAAGGCTGAGGTGGAAGGATCACCTGAGCCCAGCAGGTCGTCACTGCGGTGGCCATGATCACGCCACTGCACTCCAGCCTGAGCGATGGAGTGAGATTCCAACTAAAAAATAAAAGATGCAACTCATAACTCTGAAGACATTTAGTGCCGGGCAATGTCAAGAGGCAAATTCTTCTCCCATTTCATAATCTGATATATATGAAAGGAAACCCTCCAGAAACATCACCCTAGTTAGCTGCTGGACACTTTAGATGAGAAAAATACTCAAGCAACTGAATAAAATCTCTGCTGAGCCAAGGGCAACCCCAATTGTTAACACAGGGGAGGGTACAAATGTGTTTGGGCCTTTCAAACCCAACATGTGGGCCCTTTCAACTCCCGCAGCATGGCCTGGAATTTTGGAATGAGGGTTTGGATGGCATTTCTGTAGCTTATGCTTTATTGACCTTGAGCAGGTTTCTAGGCCTCTCTTACCCTCATGTTCCTTAGCTACAAAAATACCATTTTCACAGGTTGTTATAAGAATATTTTAAATGAGATTATTTCATAAAGCACTGAACTCTTTGTGCCTGGGACCTACAAGGGATTAGCAAATGTTTATTGTTAACAACAATATCAATGATATTCCACTGGTGTTAAAAGTGGTACAACTCTAGTGGAAAATCTGGCAATATAACCCAAAGAGACTTAAAAATGTTCAAGCCCAATAATCTGATCTGTAAATCTGTATTGTGAAAATAACTATGAAACCACACATAAAAAGAAGGGAATGGAATGCTTTTGGGAAGAGTAAACAACTAGAAGCAACTCATATGTCCAACAGGAGAATAAGAATCAGCTCAATAATTTTACATAGTGCTCCCATAAAAGATGATGTTTTACTTGAGCACATGAACCAGGTGATGCCCTAGGTAAATGTTACTGACAGAAGGTTAGGAGAAAAAAAGCAGGATACAGCATTATGCACACCTTATAAGTACAATAAAGCTACAAGTCCTTCAAGCACAAAGAAGCAGACTAGCAGAAAAATATGCCAAGATTTTAACTGTGTTTGTTTTTGAGGTAGTGGGATCTGGGTGATTATTTTTTTCTACTTTCCCCCTATATTTCTTTTTTCAATTTTTCTTGAATAAACGTATACAGGTTTTATAACACAAAAACAAAACCAAATTCCCATTTTAAAAAGCCCTTTAACCAACAAGAATTGATACCCCAATTCTTAAGATCAGTGAGTCTACAATAAATGGTATACACTCAATGTTGGCTCCTCAATTTTTAGAATTTAAGTGAGAGTCCTAATTTAAGTGAGAGTTTTACGATGAAAAAGCACCAAATAGTTGGCATTCTATGTCCTCTGTTTGAAAACCCCCTGTTAATACATAGCCTAGACTCCCCATAGGACAAGCCCAGTAGGTTGCGCCCAGGCAAGTGTGGCCAGCCTGCCCTTACCGTTATGCGTCTCCATGGCACGTTCTGGACACACAGCTGACCCCTCCGGCCCCACACACCAGTACATGCTGGGAGGTCTCCGCGACATGCCAGCCATCAATCCTCGAGGCCACTGGTCTTCAAAGGTAGGTCACACTGTTGTCGCCACCACTGTCACTGCTTGTGGGGTAGGTTAAGGCCTGGACACATGGTCACGGCTGAGCAGAAAGCGTTCCTGTTCTGGCGGTGAAAAGCATCATAAAGTCAGAAAGCCTTTTTAATTCCCATCCTTCCCTGCACCCTTGCAAATATTTACTATTTATATTGGTTCACTGATCTTCCTCTCTCCTTTGTAACATTCCATTTCACAGTTCCTCTGTCCAGCCAAACTAGTCAGGTGGGGGCGGTGAACGGACAGAGCTCCCTCCTTCCCATCTCCATTCTGGTCTCAGATCTTGTCTAGCTGAGAAGAGTCTCAAAGTAACTCCGAAACAATTGCAAAACACCTACTGGTAAAGGGTTCAGTCACTGCTCAGTCAACATATATCTACTGTCATCTGCAAGGCAGTTGGGCTCTGCGTGAGGCTCAGGGAGGCCCCGCCCTCAGGAGGTCATACTCCAGTTGGGGAGGGGTGGACACATTTACTGCTTATCCCAATGCAAGGCCCTCCCTTTGCCCAGGTCAGGTTCTTCTGGAAGCTCAGAGGTGAGCATGTAATTCCAGAGGGAGTAGTCAGGCAATAATCTCAAAAAGCAGGAATTGTTGCAGGCTATGAAGTCAGGTTAGTTTGAGCTTAGGGGCTAGCAGAACTGAGCTTTATCATTTTCTCCTCTCCCAGGGAATATCTGGCAATGTTTGGAGACATTTTTGGTTAACACAACTTGGTGAAAGGAGGTATGCTACAGGCATACAATGGATGGATGTCCGGTGTGCTGCTAAACATCCTGCAATACAAACGGCTGTCCACAACAAAGAATGATCAGGCCCCAAATAGTTCCAAGGTGGAGAAAATATGAATTAGATTAAGACTGAGCTCCTAAAATGAATGAGAATGTGATAAACTGAGGTCAGGTGCTGCGTTTCCATGCTAGGTTCCTACTGAGCTTAGGGGTCACCCCAACATGAGTGCCCATCTGCTATGACTACTAAAGGACCAGAAAAGTCTCGAGGGTAAGACCCAGGTCCAGTTCGGGGTTATCTGCAGGACAGGAAGGTATTACCATGTGAAATGCATGTGCTGGTATCTATCCTATATATAAAGTCAAGGTAATTAGCAACCTTGTCTGTGTTCTCTGAGACAGACAATTCTGAAATGGGGAGTGCCAGCACAGTCAAAAATAATTTTTTAAAAAATTAGGGTCATATAAGTAATGCCCAAGACTATATAAAAATGTAAATAAGCACAGGGTGGATGTCAAAGGCGTGGATTGTGTCTGTCACACATTAACAGCGGGACCCCAGGCTGAAATGTATGTGTCTCGGTTTTTCATGTTAAAAATAGACATGCACCCCACACCCTGGCAACCTCGCAGGGTTGCTGTGAGAATTTGACCAAGGCAAAGGTTCTGCAGCCACTTTCCACAGGAGGGCTGGGATAGTCTCACCTGAGTAACAGCATGACAGCACGAGCACTGGGAGGTCAGCAGGGTCTTCTGCCTCGCCTCTCATCCACAAGCTCAGAATATCAATGCTGGAAGACAGACACTCTATCTCCCTGGCGGGTATATTCTAGAAGCTTCCCTGAACAGTGTGAACACTGAGCAAGCTATGGAACAAGGCTGTGAGAATTTCTCATCTAAATGCCTTGAAATCAGGCAACTGGCACAGGTGGGCTATAGTCTTTAAGGCAAGAGAAGGCGGGCTAGAAAGTCCAGTCCCAGCAGACTTGCTCATTTTGAAATGGCACTTTCTGAACCAAAGAGGGAAAGGTCGAGAGGATCCATGTGTGTGGGTCCGTGTTTGAAGTTGGGAAGCCCGAAAAGACCAAGGAGGAAAGGAAAAATGATCTGTCTGGACAAAATTTAGGAGATGACTAAAGTCTTACAAATTGCAAAACCTGATTCGGAAAATTACCTTGAGATGGGGAAAGGGAGAGCCAGCAAGACAGAATCTGTTTGAAAATAAAGGCTCCAAATCACACATTATCATTCAGAAACTGGGAAGCTCAGTTTCAAACACCTCTCCAAAACAGCCACCACACACACCCAGCAACACTGCAGAGATCCAAACGCTAGACATTCCTTCTGAAAACAGAAGTGTCTTACCGTACAATGTTTTCAAGTAAAAAAAAAAAATCTTAAAATATTTTAGGCTAACCCTCGCCCAGCACATTTTGTTCCCCTTTTCATTTTCAGTTTCCTTTTGAAAATCACTTTACCAGTGGAGAATTTTGCCCCTGGAGCAGTTTTAAAATGATGATTGGTATTTTGGCTTACACTCTAAGGTAGAAGTTTTAAGATGAAGTTACCCAAGTTTTGCTCAATCTTTGCCCTCAAACGGATCTTGGCTTCCTCCTGCTTCTTTTGGATTCAGATCAATGCAACAAATCATAGTCATAAGTTGCATGTTTTCTATTCATTATGCATCCTAAAGAGGGCTTCAAGAGGTCTTCTGCAGTAGTGATTGATTAATTTTTTAAAACCGTACCAATTTCCTTCTACCAACTCTTTATACCTGCATTAATGAATATACCTAAATACTTAATGAAAAAGAGAAAAAGGAACCTGACACTCATTCTACAATGTTTTACTGAGCCCATTCTGAGAGGAGTGAACTTCATAAGCTTACAAACCTGGCGGGGAGAGCAGGCAGTTAAATAAGTAACTGCTCTAAAGTTTCTGAGAGGGGAGAAACAGAGGCCTTTTTATCAGAAGGCTTGGAAAGACTATCAGCACCAAAGAGCTAGAAGACCCTTGCAAGTGAATATGTTAGAAACATCCATACAGTCCAGCTCCTTTTTGAATCAAAAGCCTGGTCGAGATAGTTGGCCTACCATTCTAGAAATCCCTTTAGTGCTATCAGCATCCCTTGACTAATATTGGCTTGCCTACAAAATGTATTTAATGGGTTTGAGGATGTCACAAAACCTTGGAGCGGAGGCCAGAGAGACATATTGTTCTCAATCCCAGATGAGCACACACAGGCTAGGGGACAGAAGTGCTCCAAGAGTCTGAAGTCATTCACCATTCAGTTACTCCACCGCCATTCACTGGGTGACTCCCGGCATCGTCATGAAAATAAGGATACAGTCTCAGACCCCAGGAGCTTCAAGTGGAGACGGTGAGGTAATTAAGAGAAATGTTGAACAGGAAGGAATACACAGAAGATAGGGACTGCAAGAAGGCTGTAGAGCAAAGGACACGAGAGACAGTGTGGCCAGGGAAGGCCTTCTAAGGCCACGTGAAGAGTCAGGAGGCAGCGATGCAGAGGCCCGTGCTGGAGAGTGAGCCCGGCCAGGGTGGCTCAGGGGCAATGGCCTGGTGGTCTGAGGTGGCAGAGGCCACCTCACATGGGGATGTGAGGGGAGGAAGGTCGCCTGGATTGCATGCCCGTCGCAAGGAAAAGCTATTGAAGGGTTCCATAAAGAGACTGACAGGATGGGATTTAACCATGAAAAAAAAGAAACGCACCCCCCCCCATGCACACCGCCTCTTGCAAGGTAAAGGATAGGATTTTCTCCAAAGGCAGAGGAAACCCATAGACGTCACGGTGCGTTTTCCTGCATTAGTTTCTTGCCTCTGCTCCACACGCACCCCCGCCCCTCGCCCCGCTCCGGCTCGCTCGGGGTTCGGGGCTCCCCGCCT